GGAACTGAATAAGAATCTTTTTCTGTCATATCATTGACTTTTCGGTAGTCAATGCACAAGCGCCACTTTCCATTGTGTTTTAGAATGAGTACTACTGGAGATGACCATTCTGAACAGGATGGTTCTATCAATCCTTTCTTAATAAGCTTTGTAAGTTCTTCTTTTAAGATATCTGATTTTAATTTAGTTAACCTATAACTTCTTAATTTTACTGGCTTTGCATTTGCTTTCAAACGGATCTTATGTGGTGAAAGTTTAGAAGGAGTTAGTTCTTCTGTTGAAGTGGCAACTATGTCAATCATTTCTTTGAGAATTTTAATAATTTGTTCTTTATAATCTTTATTTAAGGTACTTAAAAATTCATCACTCTCAATAAATTCCATTGGAGTTAATTCCTTTATAATTTCCTTTTCATTATTCGTTTCTTCAACTTTTCTAATAGTGCAGATTATACTTTCTTCATCATAATATTGATTATTTATTTTAGCTATTTCTTCGTATTCACTTTCTGACAAAAGTTTACATAGACTGTTTAAGGTTGGATGAATAAATAAACAATGATCGATTTGAGTTTTAAAGTTTATTAACATATCATAAAATGAGTCTTCTTTCTCAATAATTCTAAAGTCCGCATTAAATTCATAATTATTAATTTTTACTGGTAATCGAACAATAATTCCTTCCGAGTATTCTTCATCTTGTGTTGCTAGTTGGATTCTTCCACGACTTTTTCCAACTGTTTCATATTCACCAGGTAATTTATCAAAATACTGCTTAGTAACGATGCTTAGGTTACTACAAGAATCAATTAAAAGTTTTCCTAGTACTCCGTCAACACTTGCATCAACCATTGCTAAGTCTTCTTCGGCTACTTCATTACTTTTACTTATGTAGCTATGGTCATAGTTATTTACTAATAAAGTTCGTGCTATTACATTGTCTACAGTTCCAATTATTTTAGACTTTTCTAACTTTAAACCTTGAGTTAATTGTGAACGAATTTTAGGACATGCATTCAAGAGTTGACCTATCGTAATACTGGATTTAAGATTATTTAAATCATCCATAATATTGTAAGGTTCTTTATTATTCATCATTTTGATATTCCTTTTTACTAATTGAGTATTTCCATTATTAGTTTCCTTAGTTTTTGTTGAAATTAATTTTTCCAAAGTATTAGTTTTATTTTGTTGATTATCTTTATTCATTTCTAGATCTTCTATTTCATTATCGATTACAAGTATATCTTCAGATTCAACTTTTTCCTTTCCTTTTGATGAATAATTGTTGTTTTCTTCTTTACTTTCTCTTACTCTTGTCATATTTCTTAATTCCTTTTCTTTTTGTTTTTCTTTGTTAATATTTGGTTGAGTTAAAATTGAAGGAAGTATTTGATTTTTATAAACTTTATTTGGTTTATTATGCAGCTCATTTTCTTTCTTCTTTCTTAAAGCAGGAGTTGCAAAAGGACGTGGATTATCTTTTAAACTTTTATGTACTTTCTTGGAATTATTTTCTTCTTTTTCGCTGTTATTATCATTCATTTTTCTTTTTACAGCATTTATAATGATATCATCCTCACTAAAATCAGATTCTTCAGATTCTTCGTTAAAGGAATTATTATCAATTGGAGTATTCTTAGTAAAAGTATTATTTTGTAAATTATTTAATGAAGCTATTGTTTTGTCATTGGGAGTGCTTCTGCTCCCATTTAGAAGTTTAAAGACTTTTTGGAATATATTTCTTTTTTATTTTTTTCCATAATCTTATTTAATTGAGGGCAATAGTATGAGTAATGACCTTCTTCCTTACAGAAGAAGCAAGTTTTAACGGATAAATTTCTCATTTTCTGGGTTGATTCTTCTATAATATCTTGAGGTTTCAGTTTATTATTTGTTTGACTTGTTTGGAAAGTTTCGTTTCTTCTTTTAGGATAAAGTCTTGAAGTAGTACTGTTTTGATTATTTTGATTATGCTGGGAATTATTAACATTATAGGTATTAATATTATTGTTCCTTACAGAAAGTCTATCTACTTTCTCGGCAATTTTGAAAGCTTTCTCCATACTTATATCATCTTTAAGGGATAATTTCTTCCAGGCTTCATAATTATTTTGAATAGAATCAATATAATCTAGTACACCAATGCGCTTTCTTCTCTTTTTATCAAGTTTAGTGTACAAAGTTCTATATCTTACATTAAAGTCTTTAATCTTTTCGTTTCTTTTAATTCGCATTGCACGAAGTTCTTTAAGAAGTAAATTTTGGTCTTCTTTAATACCGTAAAAATTTTCAAGACTTGAAATAATTTTTTCAAGAGAAGGAAATTTATCATCATCAACATTTTCTTCTTCATCATCTTCTTCTTCATCTGATGAATCATCACTTTCATCATCACTATCTTCTCCCAAATCTTCAATAACGCGTTGTACTTCACCAGAGCTGGTAAGTAAACAAGCATTAAATATTGTTTCCGGATCTGTGATACCTTGTATCTTGATCCAAAGTTTTAATTCAGTAGCCCAGGACTTTATATCTAAATTGTCCTTGCTAAGCTTCACTATGTCTCGTAATTCTTTCTTTAATTCTTTAAAACTTAAAGTACTTTTAGTAGACATTTCGTTTTTAGTTAATAATTTTTTTTTTTATTATAAATTAACGAGGTTATTAAATACGAATAAATTTGAAAGTCCAACTTTAAAAATATAATTTAACAAGTAATTTAATATCGAATCAAATTTTAAAACAATATATCTTAGTAATTTTTGAAAATAATAATTTTATTTGCTTTCTTTAGTAAGTATAAGCTCGAAATCCTTATCGACAACTTAGTAGAAATTATAAAGCACGAGGTTCTTTTCGACTACTTTTTTAAGAATAATTTTAAGTTCGAAATCTTTATCGACAACTTAATAGAATAATTTTAAGTTCGAAATCTTTATCGACAATTCAATGAAATAATTTTAAGTTCGAAATCTTTATCGACAACTTAATAGAATAATTTTAAGTTCGAAATCTTTATCGACAACTTAATAGAATATTTTTCAAGCTCGAAATCTTTATCGACCACTTGAATTTTGTAATTTAGTATATTTGTAGTAATAAATTTAGAAGCAAAGTTTTATTTATTATTTTCACCTTTCAAAAATTTTTCTTTTTAAACGATAAATATTGTATTGTTATAGCTAATAAAATTATTAATTAATTATAATTATTAAACACAAAAAATAATCTTTATTGTCGTACAATCTGATAGTACACACTGTCTGACGTGCAGCTTACCTAATGATGTCATGCCACGCGTGTGCCACGATTACTATATTCAATATAAAATATAGCAGTTCAGAGCCTACTAGCCCAATTACTATGTAGGATAAACTTAATCCGATAATCTATGTACGGAATAAAAAAAATTTTAAAAGTATTCAATAATATTTTTATTAACTAATAAAAATTAACTAAAAACACAATATTTTCAAAGTAAATTAAGATTCTATTACAGGAATTATATAACAAATAAAGTATCAGTAATAAAAAAAAATAAAAAAAATTTAAATGGCGAAGTTAGCCAAAGTCTGATACTTTATATAATAAAGTGCCTTATAACTAGCACAAAGAAAAGTAAAAAAAATATATATAAAAAAAACAATCTTACGCCTTCGGTGACGTAAGCTCCTTATTCGCCAGTGCTTGGAAAGTACCCGCACCTTCGTGTGTTGAAACGTTGAAGGCTGAACTATTATTACCGGGTCGGTAACCAAATACCTTCGTCTACTTTCCAATTAATCTCCAAATTAACTACTATTCAATAACCTACTATGAATAGAGTTAATTTGTTGCTATCTGAGAATACACTGTGTATGAGCTCTATCCGCTCCTTGTTATAATTTTACAAAATTTGTTTTTTTTTTGAATCTTAATTTTACTTATTTAAAAAAAATTTTTTTTATATATATATCAAACAAGCGCCATAGGTTAATCAAAGGATTAACGACTTACTTGTTTATCAATATAAAATAAAAAAAAATTAAAAAAAAAATCTATGTTATTTACTATTATTTCTATTTAATTCCCCGATATCTCCACCATATAAATGTTAAGGTTTTAGAGAATTAAATAAAAATAAAGTAAGAAACACAAATTTTATTTTTTTATTTATTATTTTTATTTATAAATTTATTTTATTTTATTTTATTTTATTTTATTTTTTTTGATGATATTTAAAAATTAGTAGCAAAATTTACAACTATTTATACTTTTTTTCAAGGCATAAAAGTTGTTCTTGCCACTAAATTACATTTTATTTATTTTTTTTTTTTTTTTTTTTTTTTTTTTTATAAAAACTATTAAATTTAAATTGATTTTTATAATTAATTATATAAAATTTAATTATAACAATATAAATAAAATACATTTATAATATTAATAAAACATTTTTTTTTTTTTTTTTTTTTTTTTTTTTTTTTTTTTTTTTTTTTTTTTTATTTATTTATTTAAAAATATCTAAAATATTACTAATAAGAATTTATTTAATTGGCTAAAATTTTTATTACAATCTGTTAAAATATTCAAATAAAAATAAAAATACTATTCTAATATAAAGGTTTTTAATAAAATAAAATATTTTTCAATATAAAATAAAACATTTCGATATAAAATTTTATAATAAAAGTTAAAATATAATATATAAATTTTTAATTATCAATATATAAAAATATTATTAATACAAATTTTCATTATTAATATAAAAATAAAAAAAATAAGATTTATTATTAATATTGTTAATATAAGTTTTAAATATATAAAAATATTACTATTAATATAAGATTTAATATAAAAATTATAAAGTTTAATATAATTTTTGATCTAATTTTTAATCTTTGAATTTAAAAATTTATTAAAGTACAAAAATAATAATGTACACATAATGTATTAGAAATAAATCGTAGATTTAATTAAGAATGCATTATTTAGTACATTCTTATCATTGAATTTCGTGTTGGCTCAATGGTTTAGTGGTATAATTCTCGCTTAGGGTGCGAGAGGTCCCGGGTTCAATTCCCGGTTGAGCCCCACGTTTTTTATTTTTGAATTTTTTCACCATTTACTTTATATATTAGTAAAAAAAAAACATATATATATATATATATCTAAAGTCAAAAAAAAAAAAAAGGCTTTTAAATAATAATTAACGATTTATTTTATATTATTATTTTTTTTTACTTACAAAGTAAAAAAAAAAGGTTTATTAATAATAATTAATGATTTATTTTATATTATTATTTTTTTTTACTTATATACAAAATAAAAAAAAAAAAGGTTTTTTAATAATAATTAACGATTATTATTATATTATTATTTTTTTTTTACTTAACATATAAAGTAAAAAAAAAAAAAAAAATATGCTTTTAATAATAACGATTTATTATTATATATATAGATATATTTTTTTTATTTTTTATTTTTTTTTTTTTTTTTTAAAGAAAAACAAACAAAATGAAAATAAATTAAATGAATTAAATAAAGCAATTGATATCAATCCCCTTATCGTCTAATAGTTATTACAATAAATAATTTAATAAGCAAAAAAATAAAAAAATAAAAAAATAAAAAAATAAAAAAATAAAAAAATAAAAAAAATAAAAAATAAATAAATAAAAACTTTTAAAATAGATAATCAGTTTTTTTCAATTTTTTTTTTTTCTTTTTTTTTATTAAGAAATTTTGTGTATTTATTATAATTTTTTTTTTTTTTTTTTTTTTTTTTTTATTTTATTTTATTTTATTTTATTTTATTATATATATATATATATATATTTTTTTTTTTATTGGTATTAAGTTTCCATAAAACAAAAAAAAAAAAATTTAGATACACTATAAATGGAGTACCCATCTTCCGGAGATGATGACCATAACCAGATTATCACTGCTACCGTGTGATATACTGGCATACTAGTTTTAAGTACAGAATCACCCCCCTCCACACTGTCATGTTTAACACATCTGCCTTGGGGCTGTCTTCCCTACCATTCCTACATATATCCTTCCATTTGATCAATGAGTATCGGGGAAATAGGAATCATTCACACTTCCAGGTGGGTGTAATCCTTTGGTGTGAGGACATATCATCATCAGTGCCTAATAATAATGATTAAGTCATAAGGTGTAGTAATGGTAGGGGGTTAGGTTCCAATATGCTGCCAAGAGAGAAAAGTTTCCATAAGACGTTCTCAACGATAAGTTTAAATTTTTTAGGAATTCCCCCAATGAATCCCAGAAGCGATCCATTCGGATTGATTAATTCAATTCACTAGCATGAGCATGAGCATGAGCATGAGCATGAGCATGAGCATGAGCATGAGCATGAGCATGATCATTGGTTATTGCTAGTTTCCTTAGTGGTGGTGTTGGGTTGAACTTTCTCAGATTTCCAACTTGATCTTTTGTAGAGAGGAGGCATTAGCCACTCTTAAATCTTTTTCAATTACAAGAGTCGAGAATCAATTTTTTATTGTTAATTTTCAAATAAGTTTTTATTTTATTTGGTTTGTTATTTAAGTTTATTTTATATTTATATATTAAAATATACTTTATTTCAAAATAAACTATTATATTTCAATTATTAACAGAAACCACCCTACACTTAACTTTTAATTAATCATTACAATCAATCAAAGTCTTATAATTAATCAACCATAGAATTAACTATAATATTTTATCAATCATACAACCAATTACACACTTATATTTAATCAATCATTTCAATCAATCAAAGACTTAAAATTAATCAGCTATAGAATTAACCATACACTTATATTTAATCAATCAGTCATAAACTTGTATTTAGTCAACTGTAGACTTAAAATTAATAACCCATACGCTTGTATCTAATTATATTTAATAAATCATGGACTCCTATTTTATCAACTACAATTAATAATGCCACACGCTTATATTTATTTATATAATATATAGAAAAGAATATAAAATTCTATTTAAATAATAATTACGAATAACACTATTTTTTTTTAAAAAAAAAAAAAAAAATAAAATAAAATAATAATAATAAAATAAAATAAACATAATAAAATAAAATAAAATAAAAATAATAAAATAAAATAAAAATAACAAAATAAAAAAAAAAAAAAATTATTATTATTATATTATGAACTCTATGATGGTCAATAAGAAAAACATTGATTTTATTAATAATAAAATTTTCCATGTAGTTAGTTCTTTTTATTTTTTTTTTTTTTTTTTTTATTATTATAATTATTATTATTATTAATATTATTAATCAAAATAAATATATTAATACCAATTAAGGATTCATATCTATCTAATATAAAATACCATTATGTATATATAATCAGTAATCCATTTTATTTTATTTGAAACAAATTAAATAAACGCTTACTATTTTTATATTATTCTAAATTACTAATAGCTTATAAATTTATATATCTATGTATTAATAATTATATGTTAATTTTTTAATTTATGATATTATATTAATATATATTATTAATATCTCTTTTTATTTTTATCTCTCTAATAACACTAAAAATATATTATGGTTCATTTTATTACAATCACTAATAGTATTTTTTAAAATAATAAAAAATTATTAAATAGTTTATAATACGAAATTATTAAATGTATTAAAGATATTTGTAATATTTTTTAAAAAAATTAATGATTATCCTATTTACTAGTATTAATAATAATAATAATAATAATAATAATAATAATAATAATAATAATAATAAAAAAAAAAAAAAATTACACTTTCTAAATTATCAAAAATTATGTTAAATAGTTTTTATTGCTTTTAAATATTAGAATGAATATATATATATATATTTTAATATTTATTTTATATATTTTATATATATATATATATAAAAAAAATTTACATAAAATAAAGAATTAGATATATAGAAAATGAATTAGTGTTATCATATAATAAATATTTAAAAAAATTATAATTATATCTCACATATCAAACTGAATAAAAAAGAATCAAATTAATTTTTAAATAAATAATAAAATACCATTTTTCATATTAGAAATGAACAGAAAATAACCAAAACTGATTTTTTTTTAAAAAAATATTTAAAAATATTCAATAGTATTCAAAATTATCATAAAAGTATCTGTTGAAATATATAACAAAACAATAAAACAAAAATAAAAAAAAAAAAAAAATTGTGAAAATAAATTGAAATAAAATAATAAAATAACCAAAAATAAAGAAAAAAATATTAGGAAAGCAAATCTTTCAGTTAATTTTTCCTTTAATCTTCTTTTATTTTTAAATTATTATTAATATTTTTAATATGAACGAATAATATATATATATATAATATAATATATTTTTTTTTTTTATATTTTAACTCTTTTTAAGAAAATATAAAACCTAATCTTTAAAATTTTATGAAATAAAAAATAAATATAAAGGAAATAAAAAAATATTATTTTAAAAAGTTAAAATAATTATCATAAAAGTATTTATTGAAATATATAACAAAACAATAAAATAAAAATAGAAAAAAAAAAAAAAAAACAGTGAAAATAAATTGAAATAAAATAATAAAATAACCAAATATAAAGAAAAAAATATTAGGAAAGCAAATCTTTCAGTTAATTTTTCCTTTAATCTTCTTTTATTTTTAAATTAATATTTTTAATATAAACGAATAATATTTATATATATAATATATATATATATTTTTTTATATTTTAACTCTTTTTAAGAAAATATAAAACCTAATCTTTAAAATTTTATGAAATAAAAAATAAATAAATATAAAGGAAATGAAAAAATATTTTTTTAAAAAAGTTAAATGCTATCCATTTTCCTTTTTTATATATAAAAAAAAGGTTAAATTAAATATTACTATTTAATTTATTCATTAATAAATTAATTTATTTATTTTCATTTATTTATTTATTTATTTTATTAAATTATTTTAAATTATTAATTTATAAGGATGGCCATTTTTATTAATGGTTGAAGTTAATAATTTTAATTATGGTATTAATTTATTAGTACGGGTGATATTTTATATCAACCTTTAATACAATAATATAAATAAACTGTTTAATATATATATATATAATATTATGATTATTAAATATAATACTCCATAGTCAATTAATATGAATTTATTAACAATTGTTAACCCAAATATGTGGACATATAGATTATTTAATACAATCATGTGATATAAAATGGTAAGGGTTTAATTTATGTAGAAAAAAAATTTTTTTGTTTTTTGAACTTTTATTTTATTTTTATTTAAATTATAATAAAATGAATTATTTTAATTCTTTTCTCTTTAATTTTCATAGTAATAAGAGAAGTCTATCAATATGCTAATTTAAATTATAAAGTTATGCAAGAAGAATGCAAATAGTAATAAGTTAAGAAGCCTTATTATTTTTTTTTTCTTGTATTATTTCATTTGTACAAATTGTTATAATATACCTTTATCTAAAATTATTGTATAGCTATTCTATGCTACATTACATTATCTATGATATTACTACATTAATTTAATACGTTAAAGATGAAACTAATTTTTGAAATAATTAACATATTTTATTTTAGAAATTTCAAATTATTACAATTAGTAATATTCATAGCATATTCCATCATATCGTATTCATCATATCCTATCCTATAAAATTGAATTTATTATGAACCATTCATGTCTTTATTAAAGCAATAAATATACAGAAAAAAATTTAGTTGGCTGAGGTAACTCTTAATAAATAAAATTCATTAAAAAATATTTTTAATAACCTATATACTAATATTGTTATACTAATATTGTTATACTAATATTGTTATATTAGTATATAGGTTATTAAAAATATTTTTTATCATATATAACATCATCTATGTATTTATTGTATATTTTACATATAAAACGTAAATCCTTAATAATTATATATAACAAGGTTTAAAACATTAAAAAAAAAAACTTTTTATTCGTTTCTCTTTTTATATTAACAATTAATAAATAATAAAACTTTAATAGTAAAAAGATGATATGAAATGAAAATAA